TAGCGTTATGCGCAAAAATGGGCGGCAAAATGAAAACAAGTAGCGTTTGTTCTGAGAGGACATCAATGTGGATTCTTGTGGGAGGTGACAGGGGGGAAGGAGGTACATCCTCCTCCCTCCCCCTCCTCCCTCCCCCTCCCCCCTAAAAATAATCACGAAAAACGTTAATTAAACGCTTATACTTTGGCAAACGATCCAATACACTTTGAGCCTATTCTCCAAACGTTTCAAAAATGTTGACATAAGCTTAAGTATGTACATTTCCGTCAATTATGAATAAACTCCCCTCAGTTTCAGTCATTTCCAAAAAATAAAATAGTATCTCCACGTTCCCTGATTTAATTACGTATCCCTTCAAATCTTAAAATTCTCCTACTGCAGCTAGGTTTCCCCGTCCCTCCTATTATTAAGTAAGTAACGTTTATAATTTACCCCTGCCCCACCCTTTTTTAATGTTGGCTGGGGAGGCTAAGATGTCTAACACCCCCCCCCCTCCTCTCATTAAATTATATTAGTGTGAGCGTGACAATGATACGCCCTGAAAGTAGCCTTTTAGAGTATGGAATTTTCGCGTTTATTTAAATTTTTTCGTGATTATTTATTTGGAGGAGGGGGAGGGGGTGGAAGAGGAGGGGGGAGGGTAAACCCCTCTCCCCTCCCCCTCGTTAAATTATGTTAGTGTAAGCGTGTCAATGACAAGCCCTGAAGTCGTCTTATAAAGTGAAATTTTCGCGTTTAATTAACGTTTTTCGTGATTATTTTTAGGGGGGAGGGGGAGGGAGGAGGATGTACCTCCTTCCCCCCTGTCACCTCCCACAAGAATCCACATTGATGTCCTCTCAGAACAAACGCTACTTGTTTTCATTTTGCCGCCCATTTTTGCGCATAACGCTAGGTACTTCAAGGAAGCGGCCAATCTTGACGGTTTTTATAGGGTGGGTACTGGTGGGGGGCCCCCTCCCCCCCACGAGGGGTTAGGCCGGCCTTAGAATGAAAAATTAATGCTCTGTTATTATAGGGGTAAACGACTTTACGATAATACCAACCTTCTTCGCGTTATTGGCGAGAAATCGCGGCGAAACGGTCATTTTCGCGGAATTTTGAGATATTTTGACATTTTAAGCCGCCCCATTTTGGGGGACCGCGGGTCCTGGTCAAAGTCACTTAAAACTTTTCTACACCAGAATTTTACGAGCTTTCAGAATGGTTATATGGAGTTTTGCCCTAAAATCAAGCCTTTTCG